TGTCCACCAATACTGACCATCATGTAACTAAAGCCTCCCACTCAACACCACTACTGTGAACCAACAGTGTCCACCAATACTGACCATCATGTAACTAAAGCCTCCCACTCAACACCACTACTGTGAACCAACAGTGTCCACCAATACTGACCACCATGTAACTAAAGCCTTCCAAGCCTTCCACTCAACACCACTACTGTGAACCAATAGTCTCCACCAAGTGAATGTAGAACTGCCGATAAACACGTGTGACACCCAGCCTTCAGGTCAATAATTATGGACATATTATATAGATATGTCTTGTAGTGATTTTTACGTCATTATAAATTCCCCACAAAAATCCAATTCAAATTTAAAAACATTCAATGGCTATCACGTTTTACATCTGAAACAGATATAATTACATTTATGGGTTATCATTATTGATGCAAGTGTAGAAGTAGCCTACATATTGCCACTAGGTTAGAGAGAATTCAGTTACTGTCTACGATACTGGAGATATTATTCAAGTAACCAATGAAGTTCTGATATTATGAAGCAAATTCTATTTTGCTACTAGCTTCTTTAAAAGATATGCTACAATTCTTAACTGTACGTCATAAAAAAAACACTATTAATTTCCAAATTACTTGCTGGCCTCAGCAGCATAAGTTGGGACAAGTCCTTCTTCAGTCACATGATCAGGGAGTTTGTGCAGTCCTTTACGAACTTCTCCTCGACCATCTAGGGATTCAGGTTTCTTCAAAAACAAAAAACATAAATGTCAGTGTTCTTTTTAATAAAATAATCCAGGAATTTTTTACGCACACATCTTAGTTACTTATTAAATAAAAAGTCTTTGTAAAATAAAATAAATGTTATTTATTATTATTAACATGATACCAGTCTTATATTTATTCAATGATAGATTAGATTTTTTAATGGGAATATTAACAAGAAAGCATTTGAATATATAAAATTAAATACTCTGAATTAAAAATGTAGATGAATTTTTCTGAAACTTGCAATATTTTAATTTACTATAATAGTTACTCTACGATATGCTTTACAATAAAATACTTAATAGAATATTCACTTTAGTGAAAGTACAAGTACATTTTGGTTGTGATACTCTTACATCTACTGGTACTGTCATCTCTTCAAGGTGCTCCTCCTTCTAATAAAAGTATACTTTGGCTGTGACACTCTTATATCTACTGGTACTGTCATCTCTTCAAGGTGATCCTCCTTCTAATGAAAGTATACTTTGGCTGTGGCACTCTTATGTCTACTGGTACTGGTCATCTCTTCAAGGTGCTCCTCCTTCTAATGAAAGTACACTTTGGCTGTGACACTCTTATATCTACTGGTACTGTCATCTCTTCAAGGTGCTCCTCCTTCTAATGAAAGTACACTTTGGTTGTGATACTCTTATGTCTACTGGTACTGTCATCTCTTCAAGGTGCTCCTCTTTCTAATGAAAGTACACTTTGGCTGTGATACTCTTATGTCTACTGGTACTGTCATCTCTTCAAGGTGCTCCTCTTTCTAATGAAAGTATACTTTGGTTGTGACACTCTTATGTCTACTGGTACTGTCATCTCTTCAAGGTGCTCCTCCTTCTAATGAAAGTATACTTTGGCTGTGATACTCTTATGTCTACTGGTACTGTCATGTCTTCAAGGTGCTCCTCCTTCTAATGAAAGTATACTTTGGCTGTGACACTCTTAT